GCCCTTACTTATAGATTTTTGAAAAGTTGAATTTGGGATAAGGGAAAATGTATGGCATATTACTCCTATTTCTGTTTTCTGGCATCCATATATATGTTACTTGCCTATCAGAATCAAGTAATTTTACCAGGAACCAAATGCAGAACCATGTGTTTGCCAGGCAGGCACTGTGCCACTGAGCTATATCCCCAGCAGAGTCAAGTAATTTAACATGTTTCGAAGGCTTGGGCTGACCTTTGTGCTGTGGGCCAGGCCAGGAAAGCCTGAGCTTACATAGAAGTATTGACAGCTAAGCAGGTCTAACTTAAGTCATTTTTAAAAAATTTTAATTTTAATTTTTTTGATATAGGGTCTCCCTATGCACTTCAGACTTCTAGTTATCCTCGTGTCTCAGCCTCTCTAGTGCTGGGATTAGAGGCATGAGACACCACACCTGGTTCCAGGGCTGGGCTGGCATGGTATGCCCAGGGTTCCAGGGCCAGCATGGCATGTGGTACCAGGGATTGAACTCGGGACCTTGTGCTTGCAGGAAGGCACTTATGCCACCGAGCTATCTCCCCAGTCCCAAATCTTTTTTTTTTTTTTTTTCCGGAACTGGGGATTGAACTCAGACCCTTGCGCTTGCCAGGGAAGCACTTATTCCACTGAGCCATCTCCCTGGCCCCAAATCATTTTTTAAAAGTCATTCTGCGGCATACTTTTGTCTCTGCTTAGAACCAGTATCCTAGGTAACCAGATTGGTCCTTAGTACTTTTAGAAAGAGAAAATAGGAAAAGAATAAGCACTATTTTTGTATCTTGGTTTATTAACTTTTATTTTTCCTAAATGATATACATTTAGCCTAGAATACTGACTGTATGAACCCAGCCATAACCAAATTACAGTAACTAATATAGAGACAAATTATCATCTGTAGAAATTTATTATCTACATAACAGTTTTTTGGTGATTACACTTTCAGGTTGAAATTTGGAGTTGTATGAATTCATCTTTGCCAGGTAAGCAATAGCATTTAATTTGAAAACCTTGTTTTATGAATGCAAAATCTGTGTCATAGTCCAACACTCATTTTTAGGTATATAATTTATTTTCACTAATTTTCCTCCTAAATTTTATATCTTCTTAAGTTCTTATCAGCAAAAAATCACAGTATCTTTTTTTTTTTTTTTGTCAAATAGATTTTCTTCTCAAAAAGTGAATTCCTTAACTTTGCACTGTTGTATCCATTTCACCCATTCTCCTGAGTCTAGTCTTGAAAGGCCACTGGGAACTGATTTCTAGATCTGGTGGCTTTTTCTCAGTATTTACTCTTTGATTTTATTGACTTTTATCAACTTTCTTTATGACTTTACCTTGGCCTTAGTCTTATTCTCTCTTTCCTTTCTTCTCTTACCTGCCATAAGACTATGGTTATTCCTGTGGGTGGTATTCTTTCCTTCTTTCTCTACCCTCACCCTCATAATCTCAGTCCTTTCAGAATGGTTATCTAATCAGCTCTAGAAAGGGAACTTTCAAATCTTGCTTGTTGTTTGTAACTTATAGATATCTCTACCTGGATTTCTGTATCCAGATGGCATCCAAAGTACACATCCAAAATCAAACTGCCCTTGGTGAGAATGATGCTAACTGGAAACTTGCAAGTTATCTTTCATTCCTTTTTCATCTAATTCCATTGACTGTCCTGTTGCAAAACCTTACATCTGTCTTTATTCCTAACTCAAATCTTTGTAGAATAGAATATTGTAATAAATTTAGGATTGCTGTTTTAACATGTTATGTTCCCTGGACCTTTCAGAACGAATCCCCAAAGGATATCTATTAGGATAAAACCCAGACTTCCTAGCTGGCATTCTTGGTCATCTAGAATTAAAACTTACTTTCCAGTCAAACTTAAAACCAGTATATTTACAAGGAATATACCATATGTATCTCTGAATTCTAAAACATGCCACATAGTTCAATGTTTGCATTTCCAATAAATTGGGCTATTTTCCTTCCTGGAATTAGCCACTTCCTTGCCTCTTCTCTTAATAATTTTTCTACCTAGTGTCATGGAATACACACACACACACACACACACACACACACACACACACTGAGTTCTTACCCAACTGTAATCTCCGTAATGAAATGAGTCATATATTTTATCTATTTCATAATTTTGTAGCCCACACATCATGAAATAGAGTAGGGACTCAGTAAATGTAAAAGCTTGTTGAATGATTCAGTATTTTCTGAGGCCACTGGATACATGGGACTAGCACTATACAGCACTAGGTATAATAGCTCAGATGTTATTCACAATTCTAACATGAAAAAAATTCTCAATAGCAAGCAAAAAAGATTCAGAGGAAACTCTGTTAGGCAATAGAGCTAGATGAGAGTGTGTTGGTATTTGTATTAAAAAATAGAGAGGTAAAAAAACTTATATGCAGTCTTTTTAGTCAATTTTTAGAGCTAAAGTATTTTGTATTTAATCAACTTTGAGGACAATTTTGAGAAATTTGTATGTCTATAACCATTTTTGGCTTTGATTCATTTTGCTTTGTTTTTAGTAGAATGCTTCTATTTGTCACATTGAGTCCTAACTCCATCTAGAGTTAGGCAATATTATTCATTGCCTTGAATCCTTGCTGTTTTTTCAAAACATAAATAATGGCCTAACGCACATGTGAGTTTGCAGATCTGTGTATTACTTGGAAGCAACATAAAGCCTTTTTTATTTTATTATTATTATTTTAAAAATATTTTTATTGAGAAACAAATAGCAATGAGACAGTTTCAAAACTGATTACTAATACATTTTCAATACATAAAGCGTTTTTTAAAGGAAGCAAGGTATTCCTGGGCACCACATGCCATGCTGGCCCAGCCCCTGGGCATGCTGAGCTGGCCACAGAGGCCAAGCGTGGTGGTGCACGCCTGTAATCCCAGCGCTGGGGAGGCTGAGACAGGAGGATCACTGGAAGCCCAAGCTGTGTAGTGATACCCTGTACCAAATACATTAAAAAATCGAAAATTAAAAAAAGGAAGCAAGGAATTTACACAGAGTTGAAGCTTCTCTCTTTTCATGATTATTTCATCTCTTTTTAAATTATGTCTTTTGTCTCCTAATTTTATACTCAGAGTCATTTGTTGACATTGATAGTTGCAAAAGAGATCTAAAAATATAGAAAAAGTTTTTTATGTATTATCTCTTGATTTTACAGTAATCTGGTTAAATCACTGCTGTATACAAATTAAACTAAGTACATAGCAGTGTTGCTCCATGATTAAATGTGCCCATCAAAGCAAACGGCTCACAAAAACTGTTCCTGCATGATATTTAAGCACAGGGGGTGCTTTTCTACATTGTTGATTTGATCCCCTGTTGTTGGGGATCAAATGTAGGCCTTGCACATACTAGGCAAGCACTTTGCCACTGAGCTATGCCCCCAGTTGCTACATATGTTTTAAAACAGAATCATATTTTTTGTGCTCTTCATATGTAATATTTTGAGCAGAATAATACTTGTACTTTTTTGTTTGCTTGTTAAGTTAAATCAGAAACTTTGCCTTGGATTCATAGTCTGAAAATAATAGAACAGCCTTTCCCATAATTTTTGTATTCTGCATGTCCTCTGATAGAGATACTAAAATTACTTAAAAGGCACTAGGGAGATAGCTCAGT